TATCAAATTTAGCAGGGTGCATTTGTCATGATGTTCTGAGGTGTACCAAAATAATACCCCAGTTCTCCATATTTGTGAATCGAAAGCAGAGGAAGATACGCTCTTCACTGAAGCTCTCGAGAAAAGCAGGAAATCACTTTTGGCTTTGGAGGATCATGGGCCTACGAGAAGCCACGAAGATCCCTCTGGAAACGAAGACTTCGGCAAGGCTGCTGTGAGCACAGTCACCTCAGAACATCATGACAAATGCACCCTGCTAAATTTGATATAAACTCCTACGTGTTTTTCCACATCAGATACAGGATATCTATGTATATTTCGTTAACAAAAAATCAAAGACACACATAAAAGGCAGTTACCATGAACAATTCAGGAGAAAAAAAAAAAGCATTCTGAGTTGTTATTTTTCCCAGAGACTAGCCAGTGTTGGAGGTTTTCATATTTATAAGCTTTGTTAATCAAAAGAAGACTGAAATGTGGTTCAAGTTCTCCTGTGGAATGTGTCCTTCTAATCAGAGACAATCTGAATGTTGTCCTCAGCTGAGAACAAAGTGACTATTAGAAACTCAGTATATGGGTGCTTTGTCCTGCCAGAGACTTAGTCATTCTCACTCCTTCCGCCTCTCCCTGCCCCCAACCTTAAAAATGAAATGATAGGTTTTTTTTTTTTTTTTTTTTGTCTGCCTTTAAAACCACATGCCCTAAGTGCAACTGGTGAAAATTAACTACTGGTTTAGGGACAAGGAGACATGACAAGGAGGAGGTGGAAGCGCTGGGCGGAGGGGGTGTAGACCAGATGGGACACTAGCTGGTTAGTTAGTGTGACTCAAGAGGAGAGCAACCAAGAGGCTCCTCACGACTGCCCCCACTTGACGGTATGCAGGTTGGTTTGAAAGGAGAGAAGCAAGAAGCGTCATCAAAAAGATTTCCAAAAAGAGGAAAAAAGAAGAGGGGGGAATACTATTAGCAGGGATTAGGGCGATCGGAGGCGAAAAGCAAACGTTCAAAAAGTAACTTCCAGCAGCCCCTTGTGAACACATCATTTTCAAATGCACTGCCATTAACAGAGGGCAAGAAGAGAGTTAGCATTTGGTAACGTGTGGGACAGCAAGGCAAGTCAGCAGGGAAGAAGCACTCACTACACATAAGCCAAGAGGTTCAGCTCGGGATATACCTGGAAGGCCAGTTGATAAGAGAAGGTGTGTCCCCTTCGGAATCTTTCTGGAGAAACCACTCATGTTTGGGTTTCCCGGTACTATTATGTACAAAAGACAAAACTTCAGATGATTTCTATTCGAATGTCAACACATGTACAGACAATTATAATTTAAAAACCGAAGGCTGGTTTCTGTTAAGTCAAGACTAATCCTGGCTTTTGAAAATGTATAAGCACATTTTGTCATGGGGTTTACACATTTACTTCATGAAACTCCCAAGGACATGTGGCTCCTTACTAAACTCAAGAGATAGAAATAAATCTATCCAAAGCCACCACATAAAGTGTTTTCCGAGTAATCTGAAAGTATTAGGAGTCTGTTATAGTCACACTTGCCCCACATACACCAGACAATTTTCTTGTAAGAAGTTGGATTAAATGTCAACTCATCATCTATAAGTTTTGTCAAGGGACATGGGTAAATAGCCAAATACAAAGATAGTGTCCGTGCAAAACAATACATATTAAATAAAGGAAATCAATAAAAAGAAATTCAATGAGATCATATCTTTAATTGCTCTTATACATTTTCCTTTTACATTTGTCACTGAATAATGCAACCAACGTAACAATGACATAACCAATACTAATTCAGGTCAATTCGATAAATGTTGAGTTCCTACTATGTATGAAACACTGAACTAGGCTCTGAGAAGTAACAAAGGTGACTCAGGCATCAACCCAGCCATTAAAAAACTTACACTATGGCAGGCAAGATAACATAAGATTTACACATTCATTCCTCGACACATGATCAGATATAACACAAAGCTGAATGTGATGAAGGAAATTTATGCCAGGCTGAAGATATTTTAGAACAGGCCAGAAAAATCCTGTGATAACCACATAAAGCAGGACACAGGAGGAACAAACTACTGATGTGCATCATCTTACGATGTAGACAGAATGTTTACCAGCTCAAGACCATACCAACTTATTTGTTAAGAGTTTTTCAAATACTATGCTAGAAACACATTTTAGCTCAAAGCAATTTCCAAAAATAAGATTAATAATTATAATAAAATAATCTTCATTTTCTAAAAATCATTTTAGTTCAAGTTTTAGTTTAAGCTGACAGGCAAGAATCAGTCTATAACCACTACTGTATCGTTTGCTGTGACCACTGAAATCTGTCATATTCTAGGCTTGGATATCCCCCTGTCTTTCTACACCCGAACCTGTCGGCCCACCTCCCTATCCCCAGCATTACAGCAATTCAGTCTGTAGTGAGCAAAAAATTCAGATGTATGGAAAGCTGTTTTATTTCCAACTATAAAAGGTCTAATTTCTCAACATTCATTTAAACATAGGAATAGTTAGCCTACCACTTGCAGCTAAGAAAGGAGGCGATTACTCTAGCACAGGATATAGTGGGAGAAGAGGGAGCAGCAGATATATTTGCTATTGAAAACCACCAAGTTAATATAACTAATATGCCTACCTCACAAAATTATTTTAAGACTCAAATGCGTCTTGTATAATAGGATGCTTTATAAACTGTGAAGTGCTACACAACTTCCCGAACATGACTTTCATTGATAAGACTAGAACTTGGTCAGCACCGCAAAATAAATAGATAGATAGATAAAAAAATACATACATACATACAATAAAAATTATCAGGGGCTTGTTTAAGAATATGTTGGGTCAGCATCTGAAAAGTGACACTCATACACAGACATGGGAGGTTTGCTGGGCTCCATTTATTCATTACACCACCGGTGCGAAACTAGCCAAAAAACCAAGTAACTACGTGCATGGTAGCAAATACTGAATTTTTGACATTTCATGTATAGTACGTATGAATGTAATGAAAAAGAACTGCAAGTAGTGAAGGCATCATGCCAAGAATGTGGCAAGCCCTTTCAAATGTTCCTCCTCTCCTTCCTTTTTCATAGACAATATCCTACTGTATGTCTCTGAGTTACTACTTTTATATTGTAAAGTGATGAGTCATACAGAGTCTTAATTCAGAAATCATGTGATTTTAAGGAACGTGGGTCCAGCCTCAACCAGAAGGACGAGTTTGTCTTGAGTATATTTACATCAGGAGTGATACAGAACAGTATTTCGCAAAGTAAGGCACTAGGATCCTTGATGTTGGCTGAGGCACTTACTTGGGTGATATTTTCTGCCATCAGAACCAGAAAAGGAGAAGGGATGGGGAGACACCTAATCTGAACTGGACACTTTCTGCCCGCAGGCTGTTCTGGGCACGCCTCACCCACTGACTTGCAGCATGTGCTCACTCCTCGGTCCTTCTTCGTCACCCACGAGCAGCATCTGCTACAGGCGATCCCTCCCTTCACCTGGTTCAGCAGCCTTCTTGGTCTCCTCCTCCCCCCACCATCTGTACCTCTAGAGCTCAGGGTGCCCAAGATGGGCTCCTCTCCTCCTCCACTGACATTCAATGCCTTGATGTTCCCATCTGGCTTTCACTTCCACGCTGACCTTCACTTCAATTCCGACTCTTGGACTCCACTGGCCACTTGACGCTTCCATTTGGATATCCAGTAGACATCTTAAGTACAATATGTCCAAAAACTGAACTCTTGATTTCCCTCCAAAGTCAACTTGCACGGGAGCTTTCTCTAGTTCAGCAAATGGCAACTCCTGCTTCAAGTTGCCCCAGCCAAAAAAATCGAGATTCCCCTTTGATTCCTTGGTTTCTTTTACACCCCACATCTAAGTTATTGGCAATTCCACTAGGGACTTTCAAAACCTAACTTCTTTCCTCCCCTCTGCTGCTGTCATTCTAGTTCAAGCCACCACCATCTCTCACCCAGATTACTAAGATGACCCCCTAATTATTCTACTTGTTTTCATCCTTGCCCACCAACACTCTATTTTTAGCTTAGCAGCCAGATTGGTTATTCCTCTTTTCCATCCCTTCTATGGCTCTATACATCATTTAGAGCAAAACCCAAAGCCCTGGTGATGGATCCTCCCTGATCTGCCCACCCCTCCTCCCCACAGCTCTCACACCTCCTCTTCCCCTCCCCCCATGCTCCTGCCTCACCAGTGACTGGGGCCTCCTCAAAAGCCCATGCATGGAGTCCACTCAGGCCTCTGCAGATGCTACTTCTGCCTGGGCCCTCCACCCCAACGGCTGCATGGCTGCCTCACTTTATGTAGGTCTCTGCTCAACTATGATCCTATCAGAGAGCCCTCCCTAACCACTCTATATCAAAATAGCAACTGCCAATCGTTTTTCTCTCTCCCTTCAGTGAATTGCTTGAATTTTCTTCATAGCACTTACTACATCTGTCATGATGCATGTTTATTTGTTTGCTGTCTTTCTCACTAGGGGAGATGAGCTTCTTGAGAAAAGACTGTTGCATCATCAGCACCAAGAACAGTGTGTGGGAAAGAGCAGGTCTCGATAAGTATTTGTGGGACGGATGAACTGTTGAATGATTATCTCCACAACAACCCTCAGAGATATTCTTATACTCATTTTATAGATAAAGAAAGGAAGGTACAAAAAAATGCACATTAACTGGCCCAGATCACAAGCTGGTAAAGAAAGGCTGGGGCCTGAACCCAAGTGTTGTAAGACCCCTGAGTCTCTATCTTCTCCTCCAGCGCTACTGGATTCCAATTCTGGAAAATGAACGGATAATGAATGAGCAACCCCTCCCTGGCTTGAGTGAGAAATGATGTAGTTGGGGTGCCAGTGTTCACGTGTTCTGGGGCTAAGCAAGGGAGGCACCAAGGGCGTCCTGGCCACAACCACAACCCTGACTGGATGGTGGTCTCTCAGCTCTGCCTGTTCCACCTTCAGCAGAGAGCCTAGAAATTTCCTGTAAATCCTACAAAACCCAATTATCTTCTTCCTGTTTTTTTTCTACAAATGCACAATGTGAAATCAAAGGAGTCTGGCAGTGAAGAGCAATTTGGCTCAGAGGGCACTCACTGCTGAGGAGGGGGTGGGAGGGGGGTGCAGGGGCCCAGACTTGGCAAGGTGCGTGAGACCTTGTCTCCTTCCCCCACCAAAACAATCTGTAGCAGAAGATAAGTGTAAGAACCAACCATCTGGAAACGAGAAAATTCATGGGAGGGAGAAACTGGGAGCAGGTGATACTGGGTGTTAAGTGGGAGGAATCAGAAATACTCTGAGGCCCAAGGGACTATTGTAGCTTGACTGGGTCTCTTGGCTGTCCCTCATCCTCTGGCACACATAGAAAATGATAACGTGACATGACACCTACTTCACAAAACCTAATTCCCACTTTCACAGGCACTTTTCAGGCTCAACATCACAATAGCTAAATATCCACTAAACATTCATTGATAAATATTCATGTATCCGCTATGCCACAGGGGCAATGCCCACATCAGGGAAAATAATTTTAGCATGCACACCTGACTTCCTTGCACGCTGAGTATTCACTAGGAAATCTGAAATTTAAAATCAGCTCTGTATGAACTATCTTGTAAGTTTAAATCTCAACCGCTTAAGAGGGATCTCTTCTCTGACAATATTATAAACGGTTGACATTAACATTTCTCCAATGATTAAAAAAAAATAATTTCGGGGCGCCTGGGTGGCTCAGTTGGCTAAGCGACTGCCTTCGGCTCAGGTCATGATCCTGGAGTCCCGGGGTCGAGTCCCGTATCGGGCTCCCTGCTCGGCGGGGGGTCTGCTTCTCCCTCTGACCCTCCTCCCTCTCATGCTCTCTGTCTCTCATTGTCTCTCTCGCAAATAAAATCTTAAAAAAAATAAAAAATAAAAAAAATAATAATTTCATCAAATTCTTATAGGACTTCTTTGGAATTGACAAGAACAAAATACCCAAGGACTTTGATTTTATATATTCAAAAATCTAAAACTGTAGTACAGAAGACAGGTTATTGGTTTGCAGGACCTGGTGGTGGTGGCGAGGGTTGACCACAAAGGCACACAAAGGAATCTTTGGGCTGATGGAACAGTTCTGTACCTTGACTGTAGTGATAGTTACACAACCTTATATATTTGTCAAAATTTACAGAATTTCATTAACAAGGGTGAATTGTACTGTATAAAATTATACTTTAAT